ATTTAAAAATCTGGAATCTGAGGGTGCAAAAAAATCTAAATATTGAGAAAATCATCTTTAAAGTTGTCCAAATGATGTTCTTAGCAATGCATATTACTAATCAAAAATTAAGTTTTGATATATTTACAGTAGGAAATTTACTAAATATCTTCACGGAACATGATCTTTACTTAATATCCTAATGTTAATGTTAAATATGCAAACAAACAAAAAATAAACAAGTAAAACAAGTAAATAAAATGAAATAAAATAAGTTAATTAATTATTTAATATATAAATTAATTTAAATAAATAAAGAAAGAAAAGAATAAAATAAAGAAAAAGTTATTAAATAAATAAATTATAAAAAATACATAAATAATACATCTAATAGAGTGCTATAGTGAGTAGAAAAAAAGTAATAAGGTAACGTAATAGAAACAAATTATTTATTATAATTATTTGGGGTAGACCCAAAATATATAAATAATATTAAATAAATAAAAATTGATTAAAATAAAGAAATTAATGAAAAAAAATATTTTTTAAAAAGATTAAAAATACATAATACATTTAACAGTACAGTACTATAGTGAGTAGAAAAAGTAATGTAAGGTAATGTAATAGAAACTAATCATTTATTATAAATTTTGCATAGAACCAAAATATATAAATTGTATTTAAAAATAAATAAACAAACATTTGATTAAAATAAAGACATAAAAAATTACAAATACATAAATAATACACCCAACAGTACAGTATCATAGTGAGCAGAAAAAAAGCAATAACGTATTGTAATATAAACTAAATATTGTCCAACTACAATACACAGTTTATGACAGGGTTATTAAAATTAACTAAAACTAAAACTATGAAATAAAATAAATGTTAAATGAAATAAAATATAATATTTCTAATTTTTGTTTCGTTTACCTTAAAATACTGAAACAACTAAATGTAAAACTGAAATAAAAATTAACTAAACTTTACAGACATATTTTTAAAAAAGACAAAAAAACACAACAAAACTGCTTAAACTTTAAATATAAAATTATTAAAATACAATTATTTATTAAAAACGTATTTGTACAATTATAATAGTATATTAATGATACATGTCCGAGATGCTGCTGGAGTGAGAGGACTGCATTCCTCACATTATGACACTAATGCTGTTATTATTTTAAAATGAAAAATGAAGCAAAAGGTCCCTGTGAACAGATGTGTGTGTGGAGGAGAGCAAAGCTTTCACTTCCTGCTCTG